GGACAGAATCCGGTGCCCCGACCGGGACTAGAACCTGGTGTGCCGGCGCCGCTAGGTGGAGGATTAGCCTATTGAGCCACGGCGCTGGCCTACCCTGCTTCTGATCCAGCTTCCTGCCAATGCAGCCTGGGAGGCAGCGGATGCCGGCTCAAGCGCCTGGGCCCCTGGCACCCACGCAGGAGATCAGGATGGAGTTCTGGGATCCTGGCTTTGGCCTGGCCCGTCCCTGGATACTTGTTGCAGGCACTTGGAGAGTGAAGCAGGGGACTGAAGATCCTCTGTCCCTCTGTCTCTCTCTTTCTCTTCTTCTCTGTGATCTGTCTTTCAAGTAGATGAAAATAACATTTAAAAGCAAAAACAAATGAAGCATTATTTGTAAAAAAAAAATGTTTCTTCACTTATATGTTTGAGACACACACACACACACACAGACATAAAGATGTCATCCACTGGTTTATTCTCCAAACGCCTGCACCACGGTGCCAGAAACCCACGTAACTGAACCATCTCTTTTGCCTCCCAGGTGCACATTAGCAGGGAGTAGAATCAGAAGTGGAGCTGGGACTTAAATCCAGGCACTCTGAGGTGGGATGCAGGCGTAGCAGCTGGCATCTTAACCACTAAGCCAAACCCCGACCTGTGCTCACGCGTCCGATTTTGTATTAGAAGGAGAAAGGAGCAGGCCCAGCACAGAGTCCTGCAGGGAGTCTCTTCATCCATCCACGCCGGGCTGCCCTCCCCGAGGTTCCGGGGCTGCCCCTCCACGGTGGCAGCAGAGCAGTGAGTGTCGACTGTGGTGGCAGCACCGTCACCTGTGCCGAGCTCCAAGAAGGACAGAAACAAGGACTCCGCTGTGGAACCTGACCGAGCCAAGCTCCGGGCCTGAGACCCAGAAATCTGCATTGTGAAGAACTGGCCTCCTCCCAGTGATTCTGGCACAACCAAAGCTTGAGGGTCACAGCCGTGGGCAAAGCACGCAGAAGATGAACAAGGCCCGCGGGGAGAGGAGAGCGCAAGGAACGGCCGCTTCTGCAGAACACGTCCTCCAAACGCGATTCTTTCCCAACAGCTTGCTAAAGGGCTATCCGGGGAAGAGCTGGAGGAGGGGTCTGCCTTAGGACTCTATGGCTCCACCAAGTTCAGTCCCAGCCAGGTGAAACCATCTGCAGAAGCCGCCAGCGCCAAGATCACAAGGGCCCTGGGCCTCTCTCTCCCTCCACGCTGCCACACCCAGCGCCCACCTCATCTGGAGCCCTCGGCCCTGGAGGTGGCCAGCAGGGAAAGGGAATCCAGTGCTCCCAGGCAGACCCTGGAAAAGGGTGACCGACTGGTCCGCCTGTCTGGACACTACCACGCCGATTCCTTAGGAGACACGAAATACCGAGTCCACTGTAAAATAGCTTAAAGGATTTTTTTAACTACTCATAATCCCACTGGTCTTACAACATAATTATTTTCATTTATTAATAATCATCTTCTGATTTTAATTTATATAAACCCACACGTTTTCAGTGTCATAATCACAGTGTATATATAATTTGGAGTATATATTTTTCTCCTGATATTATTCTATAAACCTTTCTCCACATTTTATAGAAGCTATATTATTTTTAATAACGGCATGTCATTTCTTTTTATGGATATCCCACAGCTTACTTAGCCAAACTCTGATTTCTTCCAGCTAGTCACTGTTACGCAATGCTGTGATGAAATTTTTTTCTGTAACTATTTAATGTATTTATGTGAGAGGCTAAGGGGGCAGATCTGCTGATTCACTCCCCCACAGCCCAACCAGAGCTCAGTCCAGGTGTCCCCCATGAGCGCAGGAACCCAGCGACTTGAGCTGTCTTCCAGGGTCCTGGATCAGGAGCCACAGCAAACACTGCTCTTTACGAGCTAGCCTGCCTCGGGTGAAAGCTCACTGGTGCACCGAGGACTGAGAGCAGGCCGAGAGGCCAGGCTCTCTGGGGAATCATTGAACTGCACCAGTTATCTGAAATGTACCCCAGTCTCACTGTGGGCCATCTGCCCCACTTGCCAGCTTCTCTCACCCCAGACATCTTTTTTTTTTAAAGACTTTATTGATTTATTTGAGAGGTTTATTGATTTTATTGACTTTTTATTGACTTTATTGATTTATTTACAGATAGAGGGAAAGACAGAGAGAGAGGTCTTCCATCTGCTGGTTCACTCCCTAAATGGACACAAAGGCTGGAACTGGGCCAATCCGAAGCCAGGAGCCAGGAGCTTCTACTGAGTCTCCCACATGGGTGCAGGGTCCCAAGCACTTGGACCATCTTCCACTGCCTTCCCAGGTCATAAGCTGGATCAGAAGAGGAGCAGCCAGGACACAAACCGGTGCCCGTATGGGATGCCGGCGCTGCAGGTGGAGGCTCAGCCTACTGCGCCATGGCGCCACTCCCTACCCCCAGAGATCTTTTTAATCAGTCCCACATCTGTGTAGGAGGAGGAGGAGAAGACCGTGATGGTCCCGGAGGAGGGAACAGCCATGACAATGTGTAAGACTTGTGAAATCAACTTCTACTAGCTTCATTAATGAAAGTTGACAAACTGAGGTAGCCATCACTGGCATTTATGTTTATCAGGCTCTGTCCGATGAACTCTTCCCTTTGCCCAGCAGACATGAAGGAAAACGTTTCTTCCTTTTCCTGCTCTTCCTCGTGATGATGATGATGGTCATGACAGTAGTGAAGGTGACCAAGTGGTGATGATGGTGATGATGAAGATGATGATGGTGGTGATGAAGGTGATCATAGCAAATTGATACTTACCAGTGCCAGGCACTGTGCTAAACCTTTTACATGCATTACCTTAATTAATTCCCAGCATCCTATTAGGCAGGTACCGCTATCCTCCTGATTTTACAGAGGAGGAAGCCAGTGCACAGAGAAGTCACAGAAAACTAGACACTGGACAAGACCTTGGAGCAGAGGGAACAGCCCACTCCCCTGGGTGTATGCCAAAGACCACCAATCTGGAACGTTTATGCACAATTCTTCTACATACAGCCTAGGTTGATTTGAACTCCAGGGACTGGGCAATTCTATTAACTCGTTGTCTCGGTTAGGACAGGATAGGCTATGCTGCAGTAACAAGTAACCCCCAAATTCCGGAAGCTCCTTTCTTGCTCGTACGAGCAGGTGGGTGACGTGACAACCCAGGGCAGCTGGCTTCCAAGTGGAGACTCAAGATCCAGCTGCTTGCCCCTGTCTCAAGAGAAGGCTTCTTCTACCTTCCTCAAGGCGGGGCAGACAGACACTGAGGGGTCACACAGGGACCTTCCACTCACTCAGCCTGGGAGCAACCCGCCTCACTTCTGCCCACTCTCACTGGCCAGAACTGGTTTCTAGGCATGGCCCCTGAACAAAGATGGAGAGAACTGCACGTTGGTGTGTACTAGTGACGGATGCCATACTCAGGAAGGGAGGGAGACAAGGAGGGTGGGAGAGAGGACCCTCTGGCCAGAAAGGCAATGTGCTGGACACGGGGTCCTGGTCTGTTCTGGCTGCTACAAACTGGGTAGTTTACAAACAACAGAAATTTAAGCTCCCAGTTCTGGAGGTTGGGAAGTGACATCAAGTAGACTCAGCCTCTGGGGAGGGCCTCTTTCCTGCCTCTCACCAGGTCCCAGTAGAGGGCTCCGGGGGCTGCTCTAACAAGGGCACTGATCTCATCATGAGAGCCACACCCAGCTCTCCTGTGCCATCATCAGGAGGATAATGGTGCCTCCCTAATGGGATTGCTGAGGGTGCACACACACAGAGTTGAGCACGCTGGTAAGTCTCGACACTGACTTTTAGGGGGACACGGACATTCAGAGCATAGCATTGGGTGATAAAACTAAAGGGACGCGCCACTTCCCACCACTTCTTTTTCTCATTTATGTCTTTTTTCCCACTGCAGTGGGCTGAATAATGCCCTCCTCCCCCTGCAGAGATGTCCACATCCTAACCTTTGATGCTGGTGGCTGTGTTAGCTACATGATGAAGGGGAGTTTGAGACATCATTCAGTGAAGGTTCTCTGTGGGGGAAAACTATCCTGATTATCCGTATGGGTCCAAGGTCGTCACAAGGACCCTTGGAAGAAGGCGGTACAGGATCAGGTTAGTAGGGGAGATGTGATGATGGGAGCAGGCGGTTGGAGGGATCACATGACATGGCAAAGGGCTCTGGACAGCGGAGGATGGCCACATGCTTGGGCCCCTGCACCTGCATGGGAGACCTGGAAGAAGCTCCTGGCTCCTGGCTTCGCATCAGCCCAGCTCCGGCCATCACGGCCATTTGGGGAGTGAACCAGAGATGGAGGATCTCTCTTTCTCTCTCTGTCTCTCTCTTTGTAGCTCTGCCTTTCAAATAAATAAATAAATCTCTAAAAGAAACAGACTCTGCAGGCTGGGCAAGGCAAGGCCAGGCTTGTCCTCTGACGTCTCCGGAAGGAACACGGCCCTGCCAGCACCTTGATTATAGACTTCTGACATCCAGTCGTGTAAGAGAGAGAATCTGTGCTGTCTGGAGCCATTAAGCTTGCAGTAATTTGCTACAGCAACAACAGGAAATGAATCCTCTACTGCTAGCCGGGGCCGGGGAGCACAAAGCGCACTCACAGTAACAGGAGTGATGGCGACGACAGCCATCAGCACCCATCCAGTGCTCACTCCACGCTGCATGTCCACCTAGACCAAAACCCTGCAGCACACTGAGATGAAGCAGGACAGAGGCGAACCCAAGGCCTGCAAAGGTGAACCCACGGCCCCCAGGTATGAAGGGTCTTTGGAAACTTCATGCAAAGTGTGTTATGGACAAAAGATGTGCTGGTTTCCCATGTGTTTTTGTGCCAAAATAAACTCATCTTCTAATTGTAGTTTTCATGAATTTTTGAAGCATCGCTGTAGCTCACCTGGGAGTGGCTGAGTCAGGATTTGGACTGAGTCCAGCAAGCAGCAAACCCCTGTCTAAGTCTTTCCCGTGATGCATGGTCAGAGGCAGAGGCACGGCCACACCTCAGGCCTCCCCACTGTCTCCAGGGCACTCTTTCCTTCCAGCCTGTGTCTGCAGAGGCGGGGGAGAGCCTGGTACCTGTGTGTGCAGCTGCCCTTGGGTGCCCCTGACACGTGGAGGGAGCCTCTGGCCAGCGCCACCTCTCCAGCTCTCCCATCTGTGTTCGCAGGGCAATCAGAGAACGTACTGTCACATCCACCAGGCCGGGCCCCCGGGGCTCCTAAAGTGCTTCTCCCTCCAAGAACAAAACACCCCACTGTCTACTGAACTGAAATCCCCAGCTCCGCGGGCTGCCTGCAAGAACAACTGCAGGCCCTGAGCACCACCTAGTGGCGCCCCGAGCCGCGGCGCTCCTGACGTGCCGTGCCCCGTCTGGAGGAAAGGGACTCCAGGAAGGCCTCCCTAGCGAGGCTCCCGTGACGCTGAGGGTCATCAGCCCTCATTGGTTCCAGAGAGGCGTAAGGCTAGAGGGTTCCCCAGCGCTGTGGGTTGACGTGCTCTGCCTGCGCTCCCCCAGGCCGTCATGCATGAAGGCACAAAACAGTGCCTGTCATTTATCAGCTCTGCATCGCCGAGGGAGGGCGCGGAGGCTTGTGGGAGAATCAGCATCTCATTTCAACCAGAGGAGCTGGCAGAGGAACGTGAATTTTAAGAAGCTGCTGAGAGCACACATTCATTTGGCAACACAGATCACATGGATCAATTCCTTGAAAAATACGAATGACTACAACTCACCCAATTCGAACTAGATAATCTGAATATGCCTACAACTGTTAAGGAAATTGAATTTGTCATTTAAAAACTCAAAAAAAAAAAAAAAAAAACCTGTTCAGATCCAGATGGTTTTGCTGGAGAATTCTACCATATTTTTTCAAAAGAATGAACACCACACTACACGTTCTCTTTCACAAAAGAAAATTCATTCCCATTCATACCCAGTTCGTTTTATGAACCTGGTATTATCCTGACATCGAAACCAAAGATAGAGGCTGATGTTGTGGCAGTTGCCACCTGCACACTGGCAACCATTGGGTGCCGAATGGAGTTCTGGCTGCCCCCCACTTCTTTTTTATTATTATTATTTTAAAGATTTATTTATTTGAAAGTCAGAGTTACAGAGAAAGGGAGGCAGAGAGAGGGAGAGAGAGACAGAAATTTTCCATGTGCTGGTTCACTCCCCAATGGTTCCAACATTCAGGGCTGGGCCAGGGTGAAGCCGGAAGCCAGGAGCTTCATCTGGTCTCC